AAAATATTTTTCTCTTTTTTTTTTTTTTTTGTATATTTATGATAACAAATACAGTAACAAACCACCCTATTATCTGTTCCATTTACATTAACCCACCTTCCACTGCTCTGTTTTATTTCTCTTCAGTACTGTTCTGCCAAAACAAAGTTCCCCATTTTCTCTTTCATGTTTTCTGTATGTTACTGTACATATTAGTTTCTGCAATAGTATCCTATTATCTTACCTCTGCTTATCTCAGCATAACAAAAAATTATCACCATCATTATCTCCCATATGAGCAAATTATCATTCCTATCAACAACTAATCACTCTCTCTGCTCAAACAAAATCCTTTTCCCTCTCACTGTCCCAAGAAAAATCTTCTTCCCCAAGCCCAAATGGACTCGTAATGTGGTCACAGATTCTGTACTTAGTCCCAAAAAGATCGTGGTTATAATGGGTGCTACTGGTTCTGGAAAATCAAAGCTTTCTATCGATCTCGCCACTCGTTTTTTCCCTTCTGAAGTTATCAACTCAGACAAAATCCAAGTCTACAATGGCCTTGAAATTACCACTAACAAAATCTCAATGCCTGAACGCAAAGGTGTCCCTCACCATCTCCTCGGAGAATTCAACGCTTCCGAGTCACACCCCGAGTTTTCTCCTTCTGATTTCCGCTCAGCTGCTAGTTGCAGAATCAACGAAATCATCAATCGCGGGAAAATTCCGCTTATTGTAGGTGGGTCCAATTCCTTCATCTATGCTCTACTCGCAAAACGATTTAATCCGAAAATAGACTTTCTCGGACCATCCAACCCGGTTCAGTGGGTAAGCAATGAGCTTCGATATGAGTGTTGCTTTATTTGGGTTGATGTTTTGGGCACTGTATTGAATCAGTATTTGGACAAGAGAGTTGACGAAATGCTAAGCTCGGGAATGGTCGAAGAGCTAGAAGAGTATTTTAAGAAAGAGGGATTTTCAGATTCCAAATCAGGGAGTCGAAACAGTGGAATTCGTAAGGCAATAGGAGTGCCGGAGTTCGAGAGATATTTCAAAGGGGAGGGATTATATGAAGAAGCAGCGAAGGAGATAAAGGAGAACACGCGCGTGTTGGCGGAGAGGCAGGTGGGGAAGATTGTGCGGCTGAGAGAAGCTGGGTGGAACCTACAAAGAGTAGATGCCACGGCGGCGTTCACGGCAGTGATGACGTCAGAATCCGGTAAGAGCGCGGCGAAGGAAATTTGGGAAGAACAGGTGTTGGAACCAAGTGCAAAGATTGTGAAGCAGTTCTTGTTGGAGTAGGTCGTTTTCCAGCTATTTCCAGCTCTTAATTCTCTAACCCCTTATGCCTCTCTCATTTATTTTTTTTATAAATTTATTTGACTTTTATCTTATTTCTCTTTATTTATTTATTTTGTTTTCTTATATAGGCAACAGTAAAAGAGAGGCAGTCAATTGACAAATAATAGTTTGATCGAGCTCGATATGGGTAGTAGCTGACTACTTTACCACTGAGCTGTTGAAGAGCGATAGAAGATTCGATCTCATAAAGTTTAATTTTCCTTCTCTATCGAACTTTTTGCAGACGGGGACAAATGGAGGAGTGAAGTGGCGACCATTTTTGCGATAATAGGCTGCCATTTGACATAGAGCTGCTTTTTTCACCGCTGAATGCTAACTTATAAATTCACAAGAGGCAAGAAACAGAGTCGTTTAATTTCCCTAGCGTTTTGAGGATTTAGGTTCACTTTTGATTTTCTATATTAACCTTTAAATATCCATCTTTGAAGAGTTACATTTGGGTTATAAGTGCAATGGTATGTTGTTGCCCAGTTTTGTCCGCAAAATGAACAGAGGAATAGGAGTTACTATGTGTTATTAAATGGGGTATAGAGTTGGTTTTTCTATGTAAAGATATGTGTGATTATTAGACCAAATGGTTTATGCTTATCAATTGCCTAACCGGTAAATACATAAAAAGTTTGCAAAATGATGATTGATACCATTGTAGTTCTTTTTAAGACATCACATAAATTTGAATTCATGTAGTGCAAGTATTCACACAGGATTTGAGGAAAGACACAACAACAACAACAACAACAACGACCCAGTATAATCCCACAAGTGGGATCTGGGGAGGGTAATATATACGCAGACCTTACCCCTACCCCGAAGGGTAGAGAGGCTGTTTCCAGGAGACCCTCGGCTCAAAATAAGCATTTAAGGAAAGGCACAACCTTAAATGTAAATAATTTTTTCTAATATCAATATTAGTGCTACTTTCACGACTCGAATCCCTGATTTATAAGTGATATGAAAATACCTTTCATTGCTCCAAAACTTTTCCTTCATTAATTTTATTTTTTTCCGTCAATTACAAATTTATGATAGAATTTCTTTAAAGTTGGTCTATAGATGTATGTAGTTCTCTTGCTCTTTTGCGCAAATAGCCACCCATACACTTCATTAAATTCTTTTCCAAGTGAAAGGAGGAAGTAATAATAAAGGATTTTCTGACGTTTGACCAAAAAGTGAAGCAACGTTTTCGAACTTTTAGAATGAACTGAAATTCTTGGACTATAATGGGTCCCACAGCTCATTCTAATTTGTCGGACATCTGACAAATAGGACTGTCCTTTAAACCAGCCTTCACAAATCCCAATTGGGGCCTCGCTGTACACCATTTCAGCTGGCCAAAGAGATGTAGCCCGTTTGGCCAAGCTGCAAAAATTAATTTATTTTAAGAAATATTTTTTCTCAAAAGTAATTTTGGTGAGAAGCAGTTTATATTTGACTAATTAATTTAAAAAGTATTTTTAAGCATCAATTAGTGTTTGGCCAAGCTTTAAAAAATTACTTCTAAGTGTATTTTTCTCAAAAATGCTTCTCAAAAAAATATTTTTGGAGATAAGCTACTTTTTTCTGCTTCTCCAAAACTGCTTCTGCTTTTCCTCAAAAGCTCTTTTTTTCCTTCCAAAAGTTTGGCCAAACACCTCAATTTTTGGGCAAAAGTTCTTTTGGCAAAAAAAAAAGCATTTTTGGTCAAACATACTATTGGTTTGGTTTTAAAAAAAGTAAGAATTAACTCTTTATTGTGTGTTTGTTTATTTGTATTAGATGTGAAATGTATATGGAGTAAAATTTAAAATATAAATTTATTTTTTAAAATTTAAATTAAATAATTCGATCTCGCTCGAATTTTTTAATTTTTTTAAAAATAGATGTGAACTTTTAGAACGACCTCGTTCGAATCACTTAAGAGTCAACATTCGATCTCGCTCGAATCGACTCACATTCGACCTCGTTCGAATTAATTAACATTCGACCTCATTCGAATCACTTAAGAGTCAACATTCGACCTCGCTCGAATCGACTCACATTCGACCTCGTTCGAATTAATTAACATTCGACCTCATTCGAATCACTTAAGAGTCAACATTCGACCTCGCTCGAATCGACTCACATTCGACCTCGCTCGAATCACGTGAGTCAACATTCGACCTCACTCGAATCGACTCACAATCGACTTCGCTCGAATCGACTCACATTCAACTTCTCTTGAATCGACTCATGATTGACTTAGTTCAAATTTATTAACATTCGACCTTGTTCGAATCAACTATCGATCGACTTCGTTCGAATTTATCAACATTCAACCTCGTTCAAATTTATTAATATTCGACCTCGTTCGAATCAACTAGAGTTCAACTTCGCTTGAATTAACTAGCATACGACCTCGTTCGAATCAACTAGCGTTCAACTTTGCTCGAATTAACTAACATTTGACCTCGTTCGAATCAACTAAGAGGCGAGAACTCTTATAAAGGAAAAACATTCGAAGAAAAGCAAAAAGAGCCAAGAACATATAGCAAAAAGTCATTCCATTCCAAAAAATAAAATATCTTACAAAGGGCCAGAAAGACCCCCCCCCCCACATAAAAAAAGAGAAGAAGAAAAAAATAAAGAAAAAACTAAGTACACAAGTATCACACTACATCATCTCCGCCTGTGCCATCGCCACCTTCACCGCCCGGCCCAGCAGCACCTTCTCCACCATTACCCGCGCCATCAGCATACTCATCGTCGTACCAAGCATCAGATGCAAGCCCGTCCAAGTCCTCTTCATAATCGTCGTTCCCCGATATGGTGGGGTCATAACCACAGGCAAGCCGGGAATCACGTGCTTTAACATGGTCATCTTCGAAGTCGGCCTCATGAACCTTCATCGCTGCCATCAAGTTCATGTATATGTCCAACTTTTCCTCAGCGTGGATCCACATCTCGTAAAAATCACGAGGAATGTCGGGGAAAGCGGAAGCATGAGAGGAAGAAGGTCGAGCCAAAAACTGTGCCTTCTCAGCCTCAAGAGCGGAAACATGTTCACTTAAGCTCAGAACTTCTTTCTCAAGCCTACCAATTCGCTCGTCAAGCCGCATCTCCCTTAGTGCGGCCGTTTCCGCATCAGTTGCACGTTCAGACCTAAGGATGCGGATAGAGCTCTCTAATGCCTCCGCTTTTGCTGCAGCCGCTACCTGAGCCTCCTAGGCCCTCACTAACTCTATCACTTTCTCAGTCAACTCACCACTCAGGCCGGCAACTTTAATTGAGCTTTGCTCAAGCTCAGCCTGCAGGGTCGCTATTTGCGCTTGAAGGTCGACTCACTCGGCCACGACCCCCTTGCTCACCTCGAGCTCGTCCTTGGCCCTGAGCAACCCCTCGAGCCTACTGCATCTACCAATAGTTCATCCAATTCGTCTCTAAGGGACTGAAGGTTACCACCTGCTCTAAACTATGCATTCATCTCACGGTACTTGTCACGATAGCGGACGTACTTTGAAACTATCTTCTGAAAAACAACCTTCCGCCTCTCTTCTCGGCGGGCACTCTCAATCTCCAAAATGAAAGTCTAAAAAAGGGGAAAAGAGAGAATAAGAAGAAAATTAGTAAAGATAGAAAGAGGAAAAAGACGCAAATCACAGAAATGATGAAAGAAACTCACCCTCGGAGCCATCCCAGATATACCCAGTGACAGGTCGGAATCCCAGAGCGCCTAAAGGGTCCTATTTTCGGTGACAGAGAAAAGAGGGGCAAAGGAGGGGACCATGCTCACCGTATCCTCCAACAAATTGTAGTCCAAAGGGATTAAGATCGAGCGAGAGGATCCATCTATTCTCATCTCCACCCGAGTAAGCCCTTCGTCGAATATCCTCGATTCCTGGGGGTTGATATCAGAGCCGTATTCGCAATCATCTATGGTCACACTATTCGTCCTTTCCTTAGCCGAAGAAGGAACGTTGGCCTGCCCTGACGTCGACGGATCACTCCTCGGAATGATCACAGCCGCTTCTCGTCACTCCCCTTCTTCCATGGAGGTGATCTTCATATCCGAAGGAGGCACGGTCTCTGCATCCAAGGTCGTACCATCCCTCAACTCGAACGCGGTCAACTCAGTTTCACCCCCCCATCGGTTCCTTTTCGACCACCCTTCCATCAACCTCTATTCTTCGCCTTTTCAGCGGAACCTCTTCGTCTTTGCCCTGGTCCGACTCATCGACCAAGTGAAACACTGTAGAAGTTGGAACCTCTACCAGTGGAGCAACAGCTTGGCGACTAGGACCATGCGAGGTCGAGGTCCGAGGAGTAACAATGGTCTGAGCAGGCTCACTTGCGGCCACAGTGAGTACGGGCCTGGTCGAAATACCTGACTGGCAAAAAGCAGGCGTAGGAGCCCTTTTCCTCTTTTAAGCTCTTCAACCTGCCAACGAAGAAAGCCAAATAAGAAACTGAAGGAAAGAAAGGACGATACGAAGGTCGAAATTACTAAGATCAAAGCAAGGTGACTCACCGACTGCAGGCCTACGCCCGAACCTCTCATTAAAATGTGACCACTCACCGAGTCACAAATGTCGACGACTAGGGAAGGGGGTCCCTCTCGGCTACAAAAAGAGCAAAGGAGAACAATTAGATCACCAAAAAGAAACAACAATCATTTGGGAGAAAAACACTTACGAGAAAAATTTCACTCCTCGGGGAATCCGATGGCCGCATGCTTGATAAGCATAAGGAAAAGCTTGTATATGTACGGGGAGAGCTTAGCCGGTCACACACCGTAATAAAATCCTCCACCAAGGAAGGAAGAGGAAGTGTATAGCCGACAACGAATGGGTACGCATAAAATGCGCAGTACCCCAGGTGATGTACTTACACTACATCGCTACCAGGAGGGATAAGTTCGATGTGAGCCGGGATTCTCCACTTAGCACTAAATACGATGAGTGCCACCGCATCTATCTCAGAAACGATAGGTTCAGGCTCACCCTCAGGTAGGTTCTTGAAGTCTGACCTGGCCTTTTCCAAATGTGGAATTATCTCATCCACGGTGGGAAAATTCTCATCTTCTACCATGGTTGCTCCTTCTTCATGAGGAGGCATGTCTACAACCAAAGTTACAGGATCAGAGAGGGCACTAACCATTTTTCTGATTGCATGTGAAAAGGAAATGCAAAAGTGAAAAAGATGACAATGGCGGAAAACGCTAAAGGGAGGAAGAAAACACAAATGCATGAAATTTAAAGAATAAGGAAAAGCTCGGCTTTCAAAAGCTCCAGAAATGCAACAGCTCAAGTAAGAAATGCTCATCCCTATTTATAAGAATAAGGGCACCAGGATCGAGAAAGCCCAAACGCCGCATCATTAATTTCGAAACAGAAGAGGTACGAGAAATGACGTAACATATTGGGAACATACGCCATAATTACACATGATGAAATGACGTCATTTCGAACTGACGTGACGGTCAGACGTGGCTCTTGAAGAACCACCTCATCACCTCGCCATAAAAGGGTCACTCCTCGACCAACATGCTCAGATTTCTCAAAATTGTAACTGGCGAAGTCCGCCCATCGAGCTCGTCCAAAGACAACTCCGACGGGCGGAGGGACTAACTATATAGTTA